GCACCCTTGGTTAATTGTTCCCAGGAGATTTAGTAGAAAGGAGTTTTGACTTGAGTGTCTGTACAGCCTTGGGATTTATTGTTGAAATAAAGCCGGAGAACCTCACATGAGGCAGCAGCAGAGAGGAGCAGCTGTTATTTCTCACTACCCATCTATAAGTTTATCCTCCACAGATTGAACCTGCTGGCGTTAGAGGGGATCAAAAAGTTGAATTCATTGAGTGTCTGACCCCCAGCAATAGCAATGCAAGTTTCAGGATATGAGTCCCAGATATTATTTCTAATGATGGCCTATGATTGAGACATGAATGTGAACATACTTGGATGAAGAGTGTGTGTGTGCTTGTGTGTGTGTGTGCGTGCATCTATAACCAAGGGGGTAAAGTTACATTTATCAAACGAAGTGGGGCTCTCCCTAAACACATGTCAAGAAGGATATCAGCCGACTGCAGCTTTAGCCACGGCACAGAGCAACAGTAATAAAGCAGCAAGCTCGACAAGGGTCTGGCAGTGTTTTTAAACTTTCTCTTTTCCCACGTACAGTATCAATATTTCACAACACAACAAAATAACAATCTTGAGCAGTCTTATTTCCCTCTCTTCGATTTAAAAAAAAAAAAATCAGGTTTGGCAATAATTCATAGTCAGTGTCTTTTCTTTCTGGAAACAATATTGCAGTAATGCAAGCTGCAATAAGATCTCCTCAACGGACCGTCAGGCTTTTTATTTATCTTACTAATCCGATAGAAATCGGATCTGCATCTCTCAGGCACATTTATGTTTGAATTCAGCCAGCCTGCAATGAAATGTTCTGCTTTGTTACACTCAGTGTGGAGGGCCTCAGGTGTGGCTAAACACACACAGCAGTGATTTAGCACTTCTCCGGCAGCCAGGTGTTCATTTCACTAACAATAGAGCTGCAACGTCATTGTGCTACAGGCCAGCTCCATCCTCTCATCACACACTGGAAAGCAGGGCCACTGCCACAGTCACTGCCTCGCTCCCCAGTCTGACTTGTAAATGGTTTTTTTATTTAAGGCTCCCTCCTTTGTCTTGCTAATCAAAGATGGCTCTTGTTTGAAATGCGAATGAATGAAACAGAGGATGTGGATGATGGATGGAAGAGATAGATGGGAGGGAGGAAAGGTTACGGTATACGGTGCGGGGTTCTGTTTAATTCATGAATTCAGTTTTGATTAGGAGTTGAAAAGGGACTTTGGATACTATATCTTTTTTATATTGCAAAAAAGGCCACTGTGCAATAAATAATAGCAACAAAGACAACGCAAAGGCTGTGGTTTAGTTACCTATTCCTTAGAAAAATAATTTTAGATAAAGCCAACATCTCATATCAGATGTAACATTTGACTAAAGCTTTTGAGAAAACAAACACATGTGCTTCCCAATGCACACAATAGTTGAGCAGAGGTATTGTTGAAACACGTGTGTGAAATGACAATGTTGACATTATAACTGACATCAGCACTCCTCCATATGGTTTATTGTTGATTCTACATCTTCCTTTAGATCTCTCGCGTCTGCATGTTTTGCTGCATCGGAAATTTGCACTGGATTTAGACAAGAATCAAAACAGAGCTTTGTCGCTATGAAAAAATATATAAAAGAGATTGAGAAAAGGCATTACAGGTATGATAAAAACTGATCAACAGATATCACACATCTGTATGAAATGAAAAGAAGGCTAAAGTAGGATATGTGCTCAGTAAATATCTTCTGCAGGTGACAGAAGGGGGAAATAGCCGGCGGACCACTTCTGTTGAAAATGAACTTTGATGGATTACACAACAGCCAATGAATATTCCTGACAAGATAGGGTGTCTCATTCTGTATTCAGATGCAGCTCTCTATTTGTCAACCACCTCCACCTCTTTGCTGTCCTTAGTGCCAATGACACCACAGGGGTACGATAACAACTCTGTAATGGCAAGGTTGATATAATTATACACACACTCAGGAATAATTTACTGAGACTGTCTTTGCATTGTTTAAGGCACGATTATGCTATACTTAAGTGGAAAGGTTGTCAGGAGGATATGCAAAGTTGAGCAGGTGCAATTAAACACCTGACGAAGATGCTAAAAGCATGTGTATGTGCCAGCAGGTTTCTGTTTCCATAATGGGCTTTGACTTTGGAGAATGTGTGAGTCAGAGAGGAAGGTAAATATCTGATTAAATAGACAAAATAATGGTGTTATGTAGATTATTAGACTCAAACACTGGCGTTAACATAATTCTGCTGACAGTGCATTATCTTGTTCACAAGAAGAATTGTGATCACGTTGCTTTTAATCATAGAGCGCTTGCTTTTGAATAAAGCGGAACTGCATTCACATAATGCTGAATGGCTTGCTTTTGGTTTATAAGGTTATGTATGCAACTTATAGTTTCATATTTAGTGAAATATTTACTTTTTTGAAAAGAAATATGCCAACGATAAGTGTCAGCCTGCAAACAGATGGTGCCTGTGAGAGTGATATCTAAAGCCTAAACAACATACTACAACATTGTGTCACAATATGTGTTACACTGCCAAATTGGCTTAGCTATTAAATAAGCTCCATCACAATATTGTGTCGGGAAAAAAATGGAGATGGGGTCTTATAAGGTAATATAGTATTGTGTGATTCATTATCATTAATTAAACATATTGGATTGGACTCTATCTTTGATTCGAGTCTCTAAATCCTAGTTTGATATCCGTCTCCTCAAAGACAGATTGTTTGCAGATCTAAAAATATCTCTTACCCATCCTCTGCTAGTCCTTCATCAGGCGAGAACTAAGGAACTTAAGAGAACTTAAGGCCTTTCTGTGTGTGTGTGTGTGTGTGTGTGTGTGTGCGTGTGTGTGTGTGTGTGTTTGACAAAGTCACAACCCAGCCCCGTCAAGAAGTGTGCAGCAGGAGATGCGTGGAGATTGAAAATTATTAGCAGGCTGCCCATGGAAATCACAAAAACATTATCCGTGGAAGAAGTGATTCAATTTCTTCATTCGATATATGTGCATCCATTTTCAGACGCTTACAGAAAGGGAGATGGGCAGCTCAGTCTGACACAATGCTTGGAAAATCCCCTTAGAGACTGTTACCACACAGAGGATGGACCCCTCAGCAAGAACAGATATGAGGCAGTAACAATAGGGGCGAAAAAAAAATAAGCTTCATGGTTAACAGCTTACACACAAGAGGAAAAACAACAGCATAATAATCACTCACTTTGTATTTCATCAATCTGCTCCAATCTATCATAACTCTTAAATGATAAAACAGATAGAACTCAGCTTTCAGCCAAGTGAGTATTGACCTGCAGCGGTCGATAACTTGTGTCTCTGGGTGAATGCAATGTCTGGCAGCAGACAGCATACAGCAATTATCAAAACACTTGGGCCACAGCCAAGTGTTTTTTTATTAACCCAGCATTCAAAACATGCAGGAATCAAGAAATCAATAACATACATATTTGACTTAAAGGCATGTATTGCCACCGCCAGCAACTTGAAAATAGAAAATGGCTCTTCTGATCAAAAGTGTGAGCAAGGGCTTGATTTGAGTTAGAGACAACAATCTCTATAATTTATTTTTTATGTTACGTCACAAATGATGACATAATGTGCTTTACACTAGGGGGAGACAGAGACCCTGCATAGATGGACAAGCATAATGTGCGGCACATTATGTCAAAATGGGGGAAAAAAAACTTCAACTCTTGGTCTTTCTTGTGCATAAAGTGACAGAGATAAGGCTATGCAGGCTCTTGTGAAAAGAAAAAAAAAACGGTGTGATTTGTGAGGTCTGCTTTGTCGGGTGAATATTGATCTGTTTAATTCCCTTTTTTTCCCAGTGACACATTATGTGATTAGCCATTTCCATTTACAAGCAAAGAAAATTTACTCCAATGTCAAAGTGTTTATAGTCCAGGCTTGTTCCTGGGTGTGATGTGACTTCAAATGCTCACCGGAGCACAGAGGCAGGTGGTGCCTGGTGGTTTAATTGAAACATATATTTGTAGAATGTGGGCCATATTACTGGGTTGTATCCAGTGGGAGGCACGTCGTAACAATGGAGAGGGAAGAGAGAAAATGGGGGAGATGAGGAGGAGGGTTATTGAAGTGCACTTCGGATCACCAAGCCGTGATGCCATACTGTTGAGGAGTTTATGGGATGTGTTGCCCAATCAATAACCAATTTATGTGAATTTGATGGAACACATCGCCCTGTTTGATACATACGTTTCTTGGGTGTAGGTTTCTAGGGGCATGTCTTCTTTTCTAGAACACTCCATCCATTCCTCTTTTCGCAAAATATGCTGGTTGACCCGTTCCCTCTTCCAAATGTTGTGCATAGTAAGTGATAAACCATCCTGTCTTGTTTTATAGCAGAGTATAAATGAATGCATCCCAGCTATTGCAGGGTGATATCTATGCCAGGCAATCTACCGTACAAGAGGCATGCATGGGGTTGCTATAACAACCGCTGCTGCTATATCTGTCACTGCAGTGGGTCACGGCTGGCTAAAAGAGCAATGAAAATCACGTCTGCTCCTACTTCCTTTTTTTTTTATTTCACCCTTTCTCTCCTCTCGTTCTTTCACCTTTCCCCGGGTTTCTTTGTCTTCCTCAACCTCTATGGCTTTTCTTATCTGGACCGGCTTTTCTCCCTCTGAATAAAACTCTTTATCACCTGCTATACAGAGCTCTGTTATACAGAGCTCTGTTATACTTATAATACAAATTACAGAGTTTTCTTAAAACAAAGAAACAAAAAAAAGTATTTTAAAGTCTTTTCAGGATTTTAAAAGAAAGCTGGAAACACTTTTTTTTCCCCATTTCAATACGACCTTAGTCAGAGATAATAAGCTTCACAGAGTCAGTGCTGCATTTTCCTCTCAACATCCTGGTCGACTCATACCTTGTGCAATTTCATCCCCAACAAAACACCAAAGTAAAAAACTGTCTAGTAAACAAAGGAGCTTCAACACAAAATGTGAAGGGCATCATGTTTAATAGTTCAAAAGCAGCTCACTCACACAGGAGAGATCTCTAATAGGCAAAGAAAGGTGTAGAAACATTTCTACAGTGTTGTACTCTAGAAATAGGCACACATGTAGTCTCAATAGCAATGCTACTGTAGGACACCAGCAACAGTCAAAGCTTTAGAAACATTTTCAGAGTAACTGTATGTGCAGTGAGACTTCACTTACTGGATGCACTTTGACGTCAGTGCTGACACAGGAACACGAATAAAAGATTCATACAGAGGAGGAGAGTGTAGGAAAGATCTCAAGGTGAGTCAGATTAACTGGAATAAAATGACAATATCATCTGATTGTTTCATTACACTGTGGTTTCAGTGATGCACACAGCAAAAAACACAGTAATGCACATCCACACCGTATAAAAGCTTTGAAAGTGTTCTCCATAAAAATACATCAAAAGATATTTGCCAGTACGAATAAAACTTTGACACAAAATGTCAGCGTGGTCTATAAAATTGTAATACACAAAATGAACTACACAGTACTACAGCGGCAGTAAAAGTTGTGTACAACAGCAGCAGGGCTGTCTTTTTACAGAATCTTTTCTGTTTAAAAGGTTAAAAATAAATAAGAGAGACACCACTGAATGCAAGGCAATGTTCAGCAACTTTTAACACCGTCAGGTCCAAATGAAGCAAAGCTGGTATTTATCTTCTAATAAGTGCAAAACAGTGACTTACGTGTCCTTTATACCTGCTGTATTTATGAATGCACTTGTCTGCAGATGCCTGGCACAAAGGTAAAAACAAAAAATGATAATAGTAACGGGAGGAAAAGAAGTATAACTTTGAGCACTTGGACATTTTTGTCTGGCTCTTCACAAGACTCCATTGAAACACAGGGGAGGTCTGTTGTCTCATGTGTGATTGGCAGTAACGATTCCTTCACAGAGACATACTGTAGATGGTGATAAATCTATGCCTGTTGTGTTCTGTCACATGTCTCTGAATTCCCCTCCTGATTGGTTAATACCTGAAAAGAGCAGAGATCAAGCTTATTCAACATGGAACAACTGTGCCAAAAAATGCATGTATTCAAAAATAAAACTAGAAACAAATTCAACTTCATGTGTTCCAATAAACAAAAGTGTTCTTTGGGATGATTATGCCAGAGAAACCTTCTTCATTAACATGCACATGGTTTATTGCAATGATTTACTTTATTCACTGTGTTTAAACTGAATATGCTCCTACTGAACTGCTGAAATTACACACCTCACAAATTATAAGTTAGCACACAAATGAGCTTTGACATACTCTCTGATTAAAACCATAATGTAGCACTAACTACCTCCCATAAAAATCTATTTTAAAATTCCTTATGAATAGGGTTTGACTGTGAGAGCGATTGTGCACTAAATGGAGGGTGAGTAGTGCACTTGTGATAAGGGGAAAATTCCAAAAAATGGGAGCAATGAAGTCTCTTTGGACAAGGATGAGCACAATGAGGATGTTGAAGCATCATGACTCATCTACAGACCTGCACAGGCATGACATATAGAGGTGCAAACAATGAGCTGAAAGTGAGTGGGATGATGTATTGTACTGTATTGGATTGAGAGAGTCACATGTAAAATACCGTATTACTGACAACCACTTTCATTCGGTTACAGGAACGGCTGGATTTGCTTTCTGCACAGAGGGAATGGCTAGGTAGTTTGTCCTGCAGATTGGTAAAAAAGCAAAGCAGGGTCTAAGAGCTAGTAGTACGGTCCTCTCCACTGTCGCATGACACCAAAGACTAGTGTTGGTTAAGGTTATTATAATTCTCACTGCAGTGGGACATGAATTAATTTCCCTCCTTTTGGAGCCGTTAGGCTTCCTGCATTAATGTATGCTCCTAATTTCTGATGCCACTGCTATGTAAACCCCAGAGGGAATGGTTTTCACATACAAAAAACAACATTATAATTGTTGCAGTTTGGAAATGCTATATAAGCTGCACAACAGGAAGACATGATACCATTAGAGCAAACTTTCTTTGTTAAAAAAAACACAAAACCCTCATTAAATACACATCCAGTAGAAAAGATCCTCACAGAAAATGTGTAGAAAAGCCACATTCATTACATGGAGGAGACTTTTGTGACTCTGTCAGCACTTTTGAAACAAAGCCTTCTGTTGTATCTTTGACTGATTATCATTTTCTGCTGCTGCACTTTATCTTGTCCCTCAGTAAGATGGTAATATAATCGGAGACAGTAATGCATCACAAAATCTAACCTCACAAGGGAGTTGAAGTTGGACATGTGCATAACTTTGGATAGTTCAAGCAGATAACCACATAACAGCCACTCTGAGTGGGTGAAGCAATGTGTTGTCATGCGGGTCAATAATGCCTGCGGCCACAACCCATTTACTCTTTCAGCTGCAGGAAGTGATGAAGTTCACAGAGAAGTATACATTCAATAACTTAAGGCTGAACTTAATGTGCACTCTGTCCCACCCTGGATCAATAAACTGTAATGCTGAGAGCAAAGTGGGATATAATCTCTACTAAAGTAATATTAGTCAGCAGCAGCTAAGCCTGGGCTTAAATGTTCCACTTAATGTTACATTAAACTTTACATTACTGTCCATGGACATTTTCCTTTCACTGATTTAAAGGACAGAATTGATTTTACCAAGCTCTTCTTCTAAAACACTTCAGGTTGTGTTGTTTGTTGAATTCTAGGATCCACATAGGTGCAGTCATTTGGCACATTATTATCAATACACAGTAAATACTGCACAAACTTGTGCTACAGTCAAATCTGTGTTGTTGTTAAAAAGGGCTTTAAAAGACTATTTTCAAAAACCCAATGTACAGGGGCTTAAAAAGAGAGAGAGAGGGCGGCCCAGGTTCAAATCTGACCTGTGGCTCCTTTCTCGCATATCGTTCACCACTCTCTCTCTCCCCCCAAGTTTCTGACTCTCCTGTCTAAAATAAAGACATAAAATACAAAGTAAGAGACAAAGTAACTGTGAAAGTATACTGTTAAACAAAACGTTCAGGGCCAATACATATTCAAATAATGAATAGGTAAAGGACGTTTTTTTATTCAAGAAATGCTGGCTCTCCTAAGAATAAACACAACAATTGTACTAAGGAAGCTTTGAATGATATTTCTTGTGTGGCTGTAAAACAGTGTTACCTTCTACTGTAATATTTTCTTTTTGCAGTAAGTAACAGTTTCAGAAGGTTTTCAATTATGATGCATTGCCTGTGTATTCTGTAAATATACACTGTGAAGGACTCGGTTTTGTGTGTCACTGCAGGATTCAGAAAGGGACTCCAGATTAATCGTCTTCAGCAGCACAATAACTGGATCAGCACATGTGCTCTGAGTATCTGTGATTGTTCTGTCCGGGACATAAATTGCCTGCTCAAACGTTGTCAACCTTGATGGACTGGCTTCATCAAAACGACGACAATCCTGTGGGAGCTGACTGTACAGGGGCATTCAGGGTTTTGTCAGTGCTGACAGGGTGACGCAAAAAGCTTGTTTCTGATGGGGCTGCAAATCCACCAAGGATGAAGAAAGGTTGTTAAGAAATGAGCAGTCAGCAGAGCTTACAATTATTCAGAGCTGTTGGGAAGTCTAAGTGAAAAGACAGATTACTGTCGCAAGAGCGCTACACTTTGATGCGGTTTAAACTCAATTACCTCTCTGTCCGTCTCTCTCTCTCTCTGTTTACCTGTCCGACTCTTTCCTTTCCTCTCTGTGCTGATCCCTCCGTCTCTTGATGCCTCCTAAATTGCCCTGTCTGATATGTTTCTGAGATTTCAAATTACGACCATTCAATAGCCAGAAACTCAGGTATACTCAAGCAACACTTTCACTTCTTGACTCACACTATCTAGGTTAATTTAGAGTCAGAAAAAAGAAAGTTAGCTCTAATAGAGTGTATATGTGGACATGTTCTCATTCATACCCTTATGAACCCTCTGTGAATTTCTACGTTTGTGTGTGTGTGTGTGTGTGTGAGACTCACGCTGTGTCCTGCACCTGCTCGTCAGACCTGGAGATCTTCCTGTAGCAGTAGACCATTTCCACTAGCAGCCAGAGGGTCAAGAACACCAGCAGCACATACATCATGATCTCAGAGTAGAGTGCTGTGGGGTCTTGAGTGGCTGTGAAGTAGAAACAACAGAGAGGGACATGTTTTAATCCAAAACTGTCCTAACTTTGATTGTTTTTGTGTGCGCGCGTTGAGCAGAGCAAAGGGCTCTTTAAGAAGAGTGTGCCTTACTTATTCATGTGCAACTCTGCTGACCCACAATCACCTGTCAGTCTATTATTCAAGGCTATATGGTAACCTCCCACAGTGTCAACTCAGTGTGTTCAATAGTTTCTGTGGTATGGCTAGGATGCAGCTGAACTTTAAGAAAAGCAAAATCTGTGTTTTCTGTATCCTGTTTGAAGACAAACTTTGAAGGCACAAACCATGTAGCATACAGAACATTACGACCATCATTTTAGTACAATGATAATATAGCCTGCAAAGAATTAAAGGTGCCCTGTGGAGTTTTCTTTCAAACAAACAAAAGTTATGTTAAAAACGATTTTTTTTTTTAAAGAGAATGTATGGTGCAGTGGTTCTCAACTGGTCGGTCATGACCCCAAAGTCATTTTCAGCCAGGAAAAACAAACTTTTGTTTGTTCTGTCACATGTTTTGTACCATCTGAGGTCCAAACTGCAACGGTGAAATAAATCTGATTGGTTGAAAAATATCAGTAATTTGGGTCACGACTTCACATGAAGAAGTTGGTGGTGTGTTCTGAGGCTCGACAAGTAGAGAACAGCGGGTATAGTGTGTTTGTCGCCTAATAACACATTTGAAGTTGTGTTTTGTTTAAATCCATGTTGGCTTTCTTCTTCTTCGTCACTGCTGTTGTCCCTACACCTGATGGTGCCATTGAAGTGAAACATCATGAAACAAACAGCAGAATATCAATCACAGCAAATTTTTGTCGCATGTCACAATCATTATGAGGACCTGTTTAGATATTATTAGTGCTGCTAGTTGTTGAAATCTCCACAGTACACCTTTACATGATAAAAAGATGGAGATGTAAAGTCACAGTGGTTCTCATTGCGTGACAGATTCTGCCTTGAACTGTTTGATTAGCTGATCTTTTTTTGTTTTTATGGATAACAATTGACAGCTAGTGAAAACTGTTTCAATAGGCATTTATCCAACTTAAAAACATTGTGAACCCAACCTTAAATATCTTTATATTTCAGGATCATTTTTGAGCCATTGTGAACCACTGAGCCACTGAGCGTGTACCAAATTCCAGAAAGCCTGCTGACCGGACAGTTGACAGCTTTCACTGATTTGATTCTGCAGCCGCTGCAAATAGAGGCTATTAGTGTAAAATAATCCCTCAGATGGGAAAGCAGCAATGTTTGCCATGAACTAATCCATTTCACTACCATGGACAGCATTAATGTAACATGACTCCTGAGCTATGATGTACAGTACGCTGACTATCGGCTTTATGAAATTTGATACTTTGGTTGCATGAGATATGAAGCAAGGTTTTTGTAATGTGACTAAAAGATAAATTGTATATTTCAAAAAGTTGCACTTCGGAGGACAATCTCATCCAATTGGCACTCTTCTCTTCTACATACAAAGCAAACAATTTAAAAGTAGCACATCTTTACACTCCTCTGAGAGTGAACTATATACCACATGCAAGCAGATATAAAAATGGGGGAGATTAAGTAGTTCCAAATATACATTTTGTATATCCAGATGAGGCATTCAGGACGCATACATACCAACATACCCCTTACGATAGACATAAAAGAGGTTGGATTGAGTTAATCCCTTCACTGACAATGGAAGAAAGCTTCGACGAACAATAGAAGACAACAAAACAAATCCCCACAATTGTTCCTCTTCAGTACATTCACAACAGAGGGGAGAGAAGGAGAGTGGTGTTGTTAGTGGAAGACTGCCCTCACCCTTATGCATCACTTAGTGTTAAACAACAAGGTGGATATAAATAAAAAAACAAAAAAAGCCACGTAAAGCACTCATATGAAAACTTTATGAAACAATTAGGTAGGAGCATGTACAGAACAAAGACAGCTTTCAGGAAGTCAGCACAGCACAGACGAGTGTTTCCACCGAGGGGGATTTAAATGAACACGCTTGAGCTGAACCTCTCCAGCATGTACAACGAGCAGCTATATCACTGTCCTCATTTTGAACAGCTAGGCTACTCACTGTGAGGAAATGTAGCAATTCTGTTGTCAAATGAACAGTCATGCTGTCCTGCTTCTGCAAAGCAAACTCTTCTTGTCAAATATTTCCAGCTATTTTGGAGCGTGTTCGTTTACTTCAATCACTTTTGCTGCTACTGTAAAGCATGCAGGGGTAATTATTTTTGTAGAAAATAAAAAGTTTTTTTCAGACTAAAACTTGATATTTATTGCAATGTTATTTTGCATTGGGCCTTCTCCTGTTTACTAACTGCTTGAACACTTATAAGAGCTTATATATGAAAGCACTCAATGGCTAGCTTCATGTCCAGCTCTGAATTAATCATGATAAACAGATTCTTGTAGACACAAAATCAGAGCTTGACTTTACAATGAGCCATACTCAAATATAAACAACAAAGTATTTAGCAGAATAACATGTAAGAAAGTTTAAAAAAAAATGTTAGCCGCACCTCGCTCTTTCACCTTCAGCTTGATGTCCTTAATGAGGAAGACTGAGGGAGTGAAGAAGTCAAACTCGAACTCACGATACACATGGCACTCATACACTCCGCTGTCGTTGAGGGTGACATTTTTGATTTGAATGGAGACATCTTGCAGGTCCTTGCTCCCGTCCCACCTGAGACGGCCTTTAAAAGGTCCGTCCACTTCCTGTGGAACTTCATCCTCATACTTGTATATCTATAGGAGGAGAAAGGACAAGTAGGTCTAAATTAAGTCTACAGTATGAACACGCAAAATGCTGAATCATGCAAAAAGTTAACGGTGTCCTACATGAGTTCTGTCGATTGGCGTGTCACTTTCTTTGTTTGGCATGTAGAACCAATCCACACGTGTCTTTGCTTTGATCTCCTCTCGTTTCAAACAGGAGATGCAGGTCAACTTCATAGACTTCCCCAGGACTGCTTCTGTAGCTGACGGGACATCGACACATACCGGCTGGCTCAGGTGGACTGAAAGAGCAAAGAAATGTCACACCATCTAGCAGCTTGGCTGATGACAGCACAGTGAAAGTGTTCAGGTCAAAAATCAATACTCAGAAATTTATTTATCGTTACTTTGATATCTGTGCTAATTTAATCAATCTGACATCACCACAACTTTGGATTGAGGAGAATTGTGAATTGGCATCCAGCTACTGATAAAATAGGCCTACTAGATATCTTGATACAGGGGTTTACTACTCACATATATTGTTATTTACTATATTGTGATAATGTACACAAGGCAATAAACTATGTTTTTTTGTAGTCTAATTTTGTATACATATTTAATGCATTCAGTACAGTGGAAAAATACATGTGCACTCCATGAACAGAGGCCATAGTGTAGGTTGCAGCAGGCGTGGGTTCCAATCCGGCCTTAGCCCTTTGGACAATTTCCTGTCTATCTTCAGCTATTCTAACTAATAAAGGCAAAAAGACCCAAAAATAGCTTTTAAACAAGCATAAAGTATATGCTAGTTAAATACTCACTACACATAATGCTTCAGATCCGGCCAACTGTAAATACAAGTGTAAAACAAAGTGCCATGTTTTCTTTAGACCATATTCAGTGACTTTGAGAATACAACCACAGACGCTTCAGTGACAGACCCAGTTTTTATCCATAGTCATAGACTCATGATGACCCAGTCTTTCTCATTGAGGTCATCAGCTCTGTCACTCTGCGCTTACATTAAAGCCTATGAGCCAGATGCAAAACTTAGTAGGCGTTAAAAATACATAAATTCAATTATTCAGCTCTGTATGCACTGGAGAGACTTAAGTCACAAACCTGAAGGCAAATCTAAGATCATCCAGGCCAGTGAGCACTAATGATGGCCTCTACCCATTAGTGTAAGCCAGCAGAGGGAGGAATACATGAGGTTGAGGGAGTGTTGAAAGTGTAGGAGGAAGACAGCAAAATGATTGGTAAATAAATAACAGGATAAAAGGAAGGCAGCTGGTAAAAGGGAATGATAATAAAGATTTCTTTCAGAGTGCATTGAGGCATCACTCTCAGTGAGCTCGCCACATGGATGTCTTTGTGTGCTGGGTCCATTCTCTTATATAATCTAAAGGCCCCTCTGGGCAGACAGTGACAACATCGATTCCATTACTTTTACTGAGAGCTCATGCAAACACATGGAAGCAGGGCAGAGGAGAAGGGATGCAGAGAGAGGGACTAGAAAAAGGGAAAAGAAAAAGGGCTTAACTCTTGAGTCATCTGTTCAATGCACAGATTAATTTGGCCTGAGCTGACACTGAGCTGTGGTGTTGCTCTGCTCAGATTTCAATGGGTTTACAGCCATCTGGAAGGTTCACAATATATTAACAAGATCCCTGAATACTCTCCTATGTGACCTAAAAAAAAACCTAATGGCATAAAAATGCAAAATATATATGCAAAATATTTTAGATGTTGCTCAGTTATACTTACCATGAAAAATCAAAATTACCAAAGTTTGCAGATGAACTCTGGTTTGAGTTACCATATTAAGCTCTTTCTGCAGCTTCAGATGCACAAAGTCGCTCTAAGTGTTGGTGTTTGTAGAAACCCTTGGAGAAGTTAGAAGAAGTTTCCGAAATGAAATCAGGACCACGGACAGCGCTTCTTCTCGAAAGATGCGCGCGCAGGTTTATCTCCGCTCCTCACGACCTAAAATCCATATGAAACTGTCAGCTCAAATGCAGAGTATAGAACCGCCAAAGGTTTTAAAAAAAAGTTGCAGAAATTAATCTGTGAAATCTTTAGGTGCCAAACTAAGAATTTACAAAAAAAAAAATCTGTGACGTAGCATTCAACGTCAATCACCAGAGAAATAACTTCATTGTTCCTTCCAGTCAGTGAAATAAACAAGTCCGTGACAGGAACAGTGATACAACAGATCTTCTTTCACAAATTCGGTCCTTCTGTCCAGAATAATCCAGAAAAAAAAACGAGAATTAAACACAAATCACGCGATGAGGAAAACCTGTGGATCCTGAACAGCCGACGGAGTCTCTCGCTCTTTGCGAGACGTGGAGTCTCAGTCACAGACAAACAGCAGACACAACGACAACAGTTCTCTAATGTCACCTGTTCAGGGAACAATAGCAGTGATCGTCAGAAGTCCACTTCTTTCATGAAGGATTAATGATGACATTTCCCAGTCGCGTCTAACTGCTTTTGTTTTCCAGCACTCACTTACTGGCAGAGGAGCTCAGGCTTTGATGCGCATGCGCGAGTCACTCCCTCCCACACTACAATGTGCTTGACCATATTACTGTCATTATGGAAGGCCTGATCAAGTTAACGTTGTAAGCCTGTTTTTGTTTGTGTGTTGTCTGCATAAAGAAAAACAGAGGAAACATTGCAGGTTGAACTGAAAACGTTATTTAGGCTTTGAAAGAACAATTAGTGTTATGTAATCCTGTGTAGCAGCTGCTGGAAGAGCTCATTCATTCTTTCAGGACATTTAATTTGTTATTCATAGTTCTAGCACAAGTCATACTTTCCATGTCTAAGTGTTAAAATAATAAAAAATATATTTTCCTCACAGGTTTATAGCAACCTGGCTGCAGGAAGTTGTGATCCTGTGTACATTGTATACACTGAAACAGATTTCTGTTAGCATACACATATCTATTAATAGAGGCTTATAAGCTAACAGAGTGCATATGTTGTGCAAAATTCTTGCAATATTTACATTCATTGAGACAGAGAAGCAAAGAACAGTAGGCTATTGAGCATGCTGGCATAAGTACTTTGAGAGGGTAGAAATGGAAAGGACATACACAGACTGATCTATATCTTTGACTCCCAGTAGTAATGAAGAAGATAAAATACTGTACGGGACACAGCCCACTAATCTAGTGATCTCCTATTCTCTGGAGTTTAGCCTTGGAAGGGCCTGACCTATTCCTGCAATATTCTGTCTATATGGCTCCAAACTCTCAGATCATGCATGACTGCGCCCCAGCAACAAGCGCCTCTTTTTTCTGTTTTTGTATTCCCTTGCTTTTAATTGATTAAAGTATAAAGGGTTCTAAATAGGAAGGATAAAAGAGAATACATCCTTTAGATATGCTCTTAAAATTATTCACTTTTACTGAGGTGGTTCAAGATTTGAGTTATGGTTCTGTCCATCACACCAACACAAGCTGAAGCGAAGATGACTGAAGGACTGACTGTTAAAAGGTGTAATTATATCACCTTGTTTTCTCTCCCACTGAAAGCTGCAGTGATTTGAATCTCTTCTAAAGGCTGATGTGATGAGGAAGCAAAAAAGGGCCAAAATATTAACTGTGCTTTTTGCTCTGTAGATGCAGCTCATCCATAATGTATGTGTGCCACTATTTCTTGTCTACTACAAATGTAAAGAATGTTTTAATCTTAATGCTATTCAATTAAAGTGCTGTTTCTTAGTTAGATTGATGGAAAATATAGTCATGTCTGTAATATTTCATACCAAGCTAACCAGTTAAATCCTTATTTTATACATACATACATTAAAGTAAGAGTTTGGTTTGATGAATGTACAAATATTGAACCTAAAATCTTTTTTTTTTGTTTTTGCTTGCTTTTTTTTGCATTTCCAAGACTCCCAGAAAGACATCAAGATTACTTTGGTGTTTGATATTGTAATTTTGCCTGCTGTGTGAAAGAACACAGGGGGAAAACAAACAGACTGCGGTCCAACCCAGTGGCACAGCTTCCTCAGGTCAGCCATGATAACCTCACTTTCACTTTCTAATCTTCACTGTTTTTAATCTTGCATTGTTTTTGGAGTAGAGGATTACTCTACTCAAGGTTTCAATTTATTTTCTCCTCTTCGTCTTTCTTCCATCTATCTGTAAAATTGCACAATGTGTGCCAGGTTAGAGCTGCGAAACACTGAAAACTGCTGCAGGAGTGAGTCAACAGGTTTTTAGCAGTAATCCTCAGTTGTTGGAACAGATTTGAAGAGAAAAAAGAATAGCACAGAGGAAGCTGAGTGCGTTCTTGTGTGGCTGTCAGAATCGGCTGAACTCTGAGCAGCAGACTAAATATGGCAGGCCTGGTTGAACCACATCCGGCAGATAAGGAAACCATAGCAACGGTAACGTAGTGCCATGGTGACTAAAGGAGGCCTGCTTAGCGACAGCCCGTAGACTCTGAAAGACAACAGGAAGCCACAAACCCATTCTTCTCTCCCTGTGTGTTTTTTTTAGACATCTACTGTAATGTGTTTGACTTACTTTCCACACTCGAGAAAATGTCATTGATTTCACAGCAGAAGTAGAATTAATAATGTATTTATACTCTTGTATGTTAAGTGTCTATGGGCTTTTTTTGTGTGGTCGAAATCACAGCATAAACAAGCTGTTTACATAAGGGAAGGAGTCATTTCAGCGTCTGTGGGCATAAAAGAAGTGGGTCACAGAGAGTATGTGTTTGCTCATATACGTACTATATACTTGTGTGTGCAGGCACCTCGAGGACGCACCGCAGAGAGCCGATTTCCAAGGATTTGGAAGGATTTCAAGATTATAACATGATTACTGCTGACACTGATGGATAACTGATATGTAAATCTCATGTGCAGCTTGCTAGAACAAACGCTTAATGCTAGAGAGTGGAAAGACCGCACTAACTTCACATGTCGCTTTAAATATCTATGATCTAAATTCCCTCCTGCACTCTTGATCTGTGTGTATCTGTTCCCTCATGGGCTCTTTTTAACTGATGCAATATGCATTTACTTGGGGTTTGGTCCTTAGAAAATATAGGAATTACACACAAGATATACATGTGTGTCTGTCTTCCAACGTCCAGAAATGTGAAACAAAACAAATCACCTGAGTCTTATAAGGGCGAGTTGTTGGCAGGTGTTTTGTTTTGAAGCACTGAACTGGTTTGATTGCAGAGCAAAATGGCGACAAACACTTAAATTCATGCAACATAGTGTGTTTTGAGACATTTTTGTTTCTGAAAAACAACTCTCTTGTTAGTCCGGACAATTAGAGCAAACATAATGTACCATCACCGCAAATCTCAGCACATACATTTAAACCCACATGACTCCAGAGCAGCTCTGAATGGAGTTATTTGATGCTGTGTCCCACTGTGAGGCAGACACACAGGCCAGATCACAGGCACATAGCAGCTAATCTAATTGATAAGGCATATCATCTCAGGGAGCCACAGAACTCCACCCCTCTCGTGAACAAACACACAAACACCACACAGCTTCAGGGCCATGCCACATTCAACCCGAGGGGATTTGGCGCAGAGCTCAAAGCTAACACTGATAGTAAGTGAAGACTTGTTCCGTCTGACCTTCTGATTTGGCTCATAGCCCCGTGTAGAAATACTCACTTTCTATTATAGGACCTGGGAGCCCTGTGCGTCACATAAACCATCGGAGCAGAAGAAAGGAAGAAGCCGTGGAGTTAAGACATCTCTCTGGCAGCAGATGCAACAAGATTTCAACTAAAGAAATAGCTTTGGGTTTCACTGTGTAACCTGCTGGCTGCAAAGACAGCTTGCTTAAATGAAAAGAGCTTAGAGAAGAAAGCATAGTGAACTGCATGCGTGCAGGACAGAAAATGGAGAACAATTACTGCAATTAAATATTAAATATTCACAAAGACTTTGGGTCATCACCTCTACACGAGGGAGAGATTGTTGTGAGCAGGACGGAAAAAAAGACGCACAGTTGTCACCTGTGTTCATTCCGCTAGAGTTTATTATCTTAATTAGAATATGCTAATAAGCAGAGGCTGTACCAGAGGTCTGCTTTTAACTCCTGTTTGCACAAAATGATAGATTATGTGACACGGCTGCTTGTTGCCCAGAAATAATTACCATTCAAGAGTTGAGATAATTAGAAAGAACTCAGATGAAATGTTTCAAGGCTAGTGCAAATTAAGACAGAGGTCTGTGGGATCATTCCTCAACAACCAAACAAAAATGTTTTTAACCAAACGCAAAAAAAAGAAAATAACTCTTCGTAAGTAAGTAATAATCTTGAGAAAATAAGTTGTTTGTCAGCATTTTTCCTTATTCAGATCCAATTTCTGATCACTAGATCCCCAAATGTCATCAATATCTGTATGTTCAGTTGTGTTTTCTATTCTGATGTGACTACACACGTCCTGCTCTCCTGGGCCTTTCAGAGGCAGCTGATCTTGGCTCTCTATTATCTTGCAATCTAGTAAAGATTCACTCCGCTGCTGGTCAGAAATATGACTCTCCGTGTTATATGGGCCAAGACCTCTGCTCTCTGTGGTTTGTTGGCTGCGACTACTGTCCTGGCACTGCCCCTGCTGAGTGCTGCTGCTGCTGTCCGTTTGTGTACGGCCTCTTGTCCCCTCTCTTGACTTGCTGTCATGCTGCTGGCACCGTCTGATGTGGCCTAATGTGGTTTGGAGCTCATCGAGGCGCTGTGATACGTAGCGTCTCCTCAGTTCCAGCAGGATTGTTCCATTACGACTGAGGCTTGGCATGCCTGTTGGTGTTGCGCTCTGCAAAAAAGAATAGATTACAGAAAATGTATTGCAGATGATGGGTAGTAAAAGATATGAATGAAATCAGGCTAAAACAATGGTGGAAAAATGCAAATTCAGACACACATCACATTCATGCATACTTATTTGCACATTTTCCTCTTAAGTCAAGGCGGAATAGGGGCAATAAACATCAATATGAAGGGTACATATTTAAATGATCCATTGCCTACATCTATCATTGTAATATATTATTTGTAAGAATGAAACTCTTGAGTGGTGAGCCAGTCAAACGGAATAAATTAGAGTGTTGGAATTCTTAGGAAATAAAAGACATAATTTCTAAGCAAACAGCTTTAAATTACCACACAGACATAACTCTTTTGATTATGTCATCATATAAATAATGCAAGGCATTCCGGCTTATTACCGCAGCATTGCCAGCCGCACTGTCCTCACTCTCCTTTGGCCATATGCCCATTCGAGCTCTCTTCTGAAGCTGCACGCTCAGCTGCAGGAAACACTCGTTCAAGCGGTCAATTTCTTCCTCCACACAGGACATCTGTAGGAGAGGAAAGGTTGAGGTCATATGAGGAGAATAACTTTTCTATTGATTTAAGAGAGACTTGATGAGTAATACCTGTATCGGTGTCCCTTTTGGTGGAAAACCTGCAGGAATTACACAAGACTTTTGATTCCGCAGACATAAAAGACATGATTAGGGGTAAATATCGCACTGGAATCTGTAAAAATGGCAACGACACAATTGTAAGTTATAATTTATAATTATTGTGTATCAAGGAGAGGCACAACCCCCTCCTGCATTCAGAATAACCTATTTGCTCATTGTGCATGGAGTCATTAAAGTCATGAACTGCGTGTACTGGGATATTGAACCATTCTTCTGGAACAAAAGCTCTTTAGGTGACCAAGGAGGTAAAATATCGACCTCACTCTTCTTGTCCCCAGGACTCCCATAATGGTTTAATGATGTTTAGATGTTTTGACCCAGGAGAGGTGGATACGTATCTGTCTTTAGTCTGAAATCACAGTATTTGTTCATTAGTGTTTGCTGGGGCATTATGGGAGCAAAGTCAGTTTCATTAGATAGTTTGCCAATAAAGTTATAGATCAACGGCTGCAGTGTCGTGATTTGAAGGCATTAAACAGTCTTACATAAAGTGTAAGTGTACGAGACTGCTAGTAAGACATGAATAGATCTTCTATTGTTCAAGGGTCAATAGTTTGTACACCTTGCCCTTGTTTTTTTTATGTAGTTACAATCAATTTTCAAGTGAAGATACATCTACATTATGCATGTCTGTTAACAGCACACTTAATTACTGTGTTATCCTGCATAGTGCCACATTAAAAATAGTGTTAATCACTTTTCAAGGTTAATCAGTATTGCTACCTGGTATAGTTATCTTTATTAATAAATACAGAGTATTGCTACTCTGCTGTTTAGGGTGTAAATTATTACTACTTTTGAAGCTAAAGAAGCTTGGAAGAGTATTGCTACTGCTTTGTGGCAACTAGTGGCACCGTACAGCTAGCAAAGCGCCCAGCGTGTCTAAGGCCAGTTTAGCTTAGCTTAGCCTACGAATACAGTTGTTGAAAGGCTTCTGTGAGAAGCGAGAAGAGGTTCTTGAAAGACGGCTGACACTTTGCCTGCCTAGGAGGAGGGTCCCATCCCCTCCAGACATAAACGTGATCCTTGCCAGCCAATGAGAGCTTGCATAGTGTTATTAAGCTTCTGACAAGGTCATGCAGTTAGCCATTCACCATAGTGAGGCACTCACTTGTGCTACTCAGAGAACCGGGGTTATGTAAATAACCTAAAGTTTTTGCACAACTGGTAAGGTTCATTCGAGGACTCTATTGTTGTTGTGTGGTGTTTTCCAATATTTTGCCCATCCAGTGAATTGTTGTGTTCAGAGAAATTGTTTCCACTGATTTTACATGATGAGTAACCTAACTGCTTCTTTCTGTCGAGGATGAATAAATGTCTCACCTGCGTCTAGGTCCTCAGTTGAACTCTGTTTGAGGTTCAGGATGAGCTGCTCTAACTTGAAGTATTTGTATTTCTCAAGTCTGTTGGAGGATAAGAATACCATTTATTTACTTTATTAACTACAAAACGTGTAGTTGTATGTATTTTCAAACCAACCTGTTAGCTAAAAGATGCTCTGAGAAGTGCTGCTCACTGGGAACTCTAATGTTGAGAAATTCCTCAACGAATGCCCCCTGTCGCCCCGCTGAAGCATTACATTTTGACTGTAAGATAAAACATTAAAAGTTATCCTCCCCTGCACATGCACTAGGAGGTTATGTAATGTTTAAATAGCACTTACACACCTCTCCTGTGCTCCATTTGAAAGAAGAATTGAACAGCTGAAGGCTTAACGCTGAAATGGCCTCATGGAGAGCTTGCATAAAGCTCTGAGGTTTGGATCCTGGACAAATAAAGGAGAACATATCTATTGTTTTTTTTAAAGATTTTATACTTACTTATTGGTGCTTTTGATTGACACAACTGGGTCCCATGACTCCCTCTGTCAAATTACCTGATGCTATGTAGGCCATGGCTTGTAGAATAGTAGCCATGAAATGTCCGGCATGCTGAAGCTTTACCTCTGACAGATAAAGGATGTGATTGGTCCGATCAAAATAAAAGTCTCTTGAGCAATGTGCCAGAAGAGCCCTGTTAGAGGAAGCTGGAGAAACAGGGATTGACCTGGCCAGGAGCAGAAGCACAGTGGGGAACAGGGGGCAGTTTGCAAGCAATTGCATCATCTGGCAACCAAACAGGAAAACAGCACTGTGATTAGGTGAGAGGCTTTCCAGCGCAGTGGGGATGAGCTGTCCATCATGGTTGTCCTGGACAGAGAGCTCTGTAGTTTCAAAAAAAGTAGAAGGATTCTTTATTTTAGGCTACATATTCATCATAATAAGGTGCTACATTCATTATTAGTTTAATTTCTCTTTCTGACGTGTTGAATTGAGTCTTTTTTTTGTCATATTTCTGTACCATAGTGGTCATTCTGATTAGCCTCAGTATTGGTAAGGTCATGCAAAGACTGCTGGATCTCCTGCAGGGTTCTGAATAGAGGAGATATGCTGACCAGCTTGGACAGGTCGTGGTCACTCAGACAAGGAGCTGTGCTCTGTAAAGGGACTAGGATGACAGACTCATGTCAGTGTGGTGATGTAACATCCTGATGCTCTTTGACAGACAACAAAGTTCTGAATGTGTTTGTTCTTTACCCGTCTCATGGGGAAGAGCATCTGCTTTGGTCATGCTCACTGGAGAAAACTGTGTCACAATTCAAAAGAGGAATACACAGTCCACAATATTATTCCAAGATATACTGTTGTACATACTGGACAAGTGCTACTACATTACCTGTGTATAACACATGCTGATGTCACCAGCATGCGGCTCACATTCCCTGGCATCGTGAGCACCGGTATGACAGTATGGTGGACCAGACATGTCCTGGTTCTGCCATGCTTCTCCTTTTAGCCTGCATAAAAGAGCTTCCACTGACCTCACAAGAGCTCCAAGTAACACTAGAGAAGCTTCGTCTGGGGTGTTGGGGCGTGTCCAGTCCAATGCAAGTCACAGTTTAGAGAAAAATGTTGAATAATTTATTTGGAGAAAAACAGACAGGTGCATACAAGAGTTTTTAAAGCCTGAGCCTCACCTTAACGGCTCAGCATATCTTGTGTGAAAAATCATATCACTCACAACCCCACATATTGAGCTGAAACATTTAGCTTCTTTGTGCTTATTAGCCAAGCAGCTAATGATGTATTTCCATGTGCATTGTAAAGATGTTTATAAAGCTTAAATCATATCATTGGACTTCATAAGAAGGAGAATATAAACAAGTGACTTGGTGGGAAGAGATTAAAAAACCTTACCCTGTGTGTCTCTCTCTGCTGCACTGCTGTTAGACGGTTTATCCGTCATGGAATTATTTGCCAGCAGCTCTTTAAGATGACCCAGTTTTTTGCCGTCCATATTCTCAAAGACATTCTGAAAGGTAATGATTTAACAGTTTTCTCTCATGGCACCAGAAAAGAATATACATGTTAAAATATCTAATAGTCTACTCTTTTTTTGAAAAGTATTACTGGATACAGCTCACTGTAGCAAAACTCACCGTAAGGGTTTCAGCCTGTTGACAAATATTTCTGTAAAACTCCTGCGTGTCTTTGCGGTGTCGGGCCAGTTGTGACGCTATGTGGAGGTTTTGATCCTCTAGCTTATCGTAAAGAGTCTTGACATTGAAGTCCTCCAGATCAAAACGGCCAGACACACTTCCTAAAGGAAGCAGAAATGCAAATGTTGCAAGAGTTGGAAAAGGGCTGAAAAATTAAAGGTCTGGGGAATTCTCAGCATGCCATCCTACAGAGTAGATGAGATACCCTCATGATGAATGGCTGTTCCTTGAAAGCAGAAGCTTCCCTGACTGCTCTCCATAGAGTCTTTCTAGCTTTTTAGACAGTCCAGGATGGAGCATGCAAGAGATAATAAGTGCTTGAATTTAAATTGCAGAGGAAAACTGGGGAGCTACAGATAACAGCACAAGTAATTAGAGTGTGATACAAGCCATTATTTTCTTTATCATCTATCACATTGGGAAGCGACTGTTAACTGCTACCTGGTCATGCATGATGGTTTCATAATGAGTAGGCCAATGGACATTTAAACGTCCTATCAGGCTGCATGAATAATGTAGGAAGTGCACTAAGTGAGAAACATTAAGGCCAGTTCTACCTTATAGTTATTCTAATCAACACTGTTGAGAAAATCACCGGTCAGATTGAAAGAGGGTGTGAGTGTTTTTAGTGAAACCTTTCTTATTTTCAATTATCAATTTATTACCAGGTAACTGTAGGGTGTACAGAATAATTAAAAAAGGGTGAATTCAATTAAAGCAAAACATGGTTGCAGAAAGTTACAACGCTACATTTACCTAAGGCTGTCTTTAAAGGAAGAGTCACTAGCTTTTTCCTAGAAAATAAAATAGCTTAAATAAAATAACTTTCACAAAAGTAATGTCGCTCAATCAACACTTCCATACATGTGTGGTGGTGACTGTGTCTGCAGAGACACTGTCCTCTCTCTGTATTTTGATGTTTTTGTTTTGTTTTGATTGATTCGGGACATTTCTGGGTGGTTAGCTTGTGTATTTTCCCCCTAGCCAATGACAATGCTCAGATTAGTTTAGGAGTGGATACAATTCAGCGATTGGGCGAAGGGGCATAGATAGATAGATATAGATATCATAGTGAGGCGAAGCGCCATGTGGATAAAGCTCGTTCCAAAACAAGGATAAACCTTGAGTTAGCTTTCACCTGTGGACGGGGAGTTGGGCTTTCTGTTGGACAGGCAGGTGCCAAAAACCAACACTTAGCTTGTGCTAGCATGCTAAATTATCGGCAATACCATTACAAAAACAATTATATTTTCAGGTAGCTTGCAGTGTAGGTACAAGAAGTAGATGTACACACCAAGGCCTGCAGTATGCTTCCGCTACTGGTGACTACTAAAATCTACAAAATCATCTTTAAGATTCAAATGGTTTATCATTATACATAATGATAAAGAACACAACTTCCTGTATTTATACTGAAACAAAATGTTTCATGGGGTTTATCTTATTCTGAAGGAAGGTCTAAGCACCTGGTAAGAAACTGTGAGCGTACCTCCTTTTGTTATGACAGTCTCCTCAGCCTCTGCTCCCTCTCCAACACCCCTGCTGCCCAGAAAGCCTCCATGGCTTGGAACAGCTATGCTGAAACACAAACACATTCAAAAATATAAGTTTGCAAGGAGGGCGACTTTAAGCAGCTAGGGTAAAAGAGTACATACATTTTATGTTCCAATAGGATTCTTAACAACAGTGTGCTGACAGAAAAATAAAACACACCAACAGTTGTAATGTCACAACAGACCTCTCTGCACTGCATGTACAGTCCACTGGACAGATGGGCTCCCCAAGGCTGCGCCACTTTGGCTTCATTCTCCACTGGGAGATGAGTTTTGCTTTGCCAGGTCGCAGAACCAGCACTGTGCTGGTCAAAACCACGACTACAACCAGCAGCAGACTCAAGATCCCTAAAAACAGTTGGCATGATTAAAAAGTGAGGATTAACTCATTGCAATCCTTCACCTGCATGATAAAATATTAAAAACACAGCAAGATGCACACCTGCTATCACTCCCCAGTCAGGAAGCAGGTTGAGTCTGTGCTGCTTGACAATACCGAGTTTGACCAGCTGTGCCGGCGCCATTGGCTGGAAGACCGACGCCCGAGGGTCACACTCCATCCCCTCCTCGCTGACCACCACCACCAAACTCCACTCTGGGACCGCACTGTCAACAAATGTATACTTCCCTGTCTCTGTGAACACATGGGCGAAACTGAAACAAAGAGAGTCGTTTGAGGGAAATGGTATAAATGGCAAAATATGTGATATGTAACCTTCAGTATGGACTCATCAACAGTACCATGTAGCGTTGACGCTTGTCTGCTTCATGAGTATCTGTAGACGTCTGAAGGCACCAAAGTCCCAGCTAGGGTTGCTGTTAAACAGGTGGTCTTTCTGATACACTGGGAAGTGGCTGTGCCGGCGGTCTTCATGATGGAAACAAAGTGAGTTAGATGTTTAATACTTAAGTTAATCACACTATTATCAGTTAACCAAAATTAGATTTAACAAAATCTGTGGTACCAGTTTGGTTGATGGTGATTCGGAAAATGAGCATGTCGCCAGAGGTCAGACAGGCAATGGGGTTTGGGATACGAGGAAGGACAGCTAAGTTGGCATCATCATCAAGTTTTGTGTCTCTCCTCTGTCTCTGTCTTGTATCATGGAATTGCACTGGCTCTGAATCAAAGTAAAGTGATGTTAATATGCTTTGGTTTGAGACAAAAATTCACCTCAAGTCATTTAGAATTATACTGAGTACAGAAATCACAAGCTTGATTAGAAACATTAGAAAAATAAACTTAAATGAATACATATCAAAGTTAACTCTGGTCACCTGACAGGACTTGATGGATAAGTTCTGTCTGTGTGGGAATCCAACCAAAAACTCCTTCAGGTTCAAACTGGACCAAATGGATTTTACCAATATTCTTTGCATGGATATCTGGTCCTAAAACATTCATTAAAGTCTGGAAGTAAACAGAAATTAGCTCAATAACTAACTGCCAATCCCACATTAAAACACATCAATTAAAGGCTTAATATGCAATTTTCACACTTAAATGTAATAGAAATCAAGTATATCTTCTGAAAATAACTCTGTGAGTCATGACTGTCTACAAATTAACACCAGAGTCCCACTGTCTGTGATGTTTTCCAAGTTTTCCCGAGTCCTATCTTCACTTTGTTTACATCACCAGGACAGCCGGCCGGCTCATCCCCTCGTGTTTAAAAGTTGTTAAATTGAGGGACTAGAGAAAAGAAGAATAACATTCTGTACTCACTGCTTAATTGAATGCCACATAAGCGTTTCTCAATCACAATCATTTCGGGTAAATTTACATGCAGTGTGAAGATACGAGCATAATAAAGATTGCTAGCATTAGCATGCTAACACAACGATGCAGCGCAAGTTGTTTTGGTTTCATGCTGGTGCTCAAGGGCGACATCTCCTGGATCAAAAAATCGCATAAAGCCTTTAAAGAGACAAGACTTCATTTCAGAAGTGTTCCCTGATAAAACTGACGAGTCATCCTGTTGCGTAACGGCTCTACACTTAAGTGTGAATATTTTCATCTATTGATGAAATAGTTATTTATGTCATATCATATGTGTACATATGCTTAACTAGTCTGATATATACAAAGGAGTATTAGGGCCACATTAAGGGGAGGAAAAATCGGACATTTCGTGATTAAAGTCGTACATTTACGAGAATAAACGTGTACAATTTATGAGAATAAATTAGTAAAAAGAGCAGCTGCTGGTTTATTTCACAAAATACGACAATGACAGTACATACACACTTAACATGCACATTTGCACTGTACTTTGTGAATTATGAAAGTTATTGAACAATATATGACTTTTGTGGGCACCACTTAATACATTTTATTGCATGCGGGGAGAGGAATCTCATCTTAGAATTTTATTTTATCACTTCCCCTTTCCGCAATGCAATGATGTCACAAAATCTACACTACCACCATTTCTGCAGATGCCCTGCTAATCCTCTCACTGGCCCTGATATTTGCTTAACTCCTTTGTCAAACTATTCTGAGAAGTCTTTTGTCTACATCAGTATGATACAAATTGTTTATAGCGTTTTCAGCAGATAAAAGCAGCTTTTGAAAGTCTGTCTTCTCACTAAATGCTCATACGATAATATCAAGTAAATAAAAAAACATCTATTAACTTGTAATGTATTGCAAACTATTAGCTTGTCAATAGACCTATCGACTCATTCCTTACCCTGACCCACACCATGCTGTCTCTCTCTTTGAGGCTCAGCAGCAGGTTTCCATCTGTCGATATCTTAGCAGAGAGCTGAGGCAGCCTGGAAAGGCAGGAAGTGTTGCAGAGCTCCTCAGCAGACACATATCGCTCACACTGGCAGCTGTTGAGATCAGAGAAAATAGAATTTCAGACTCTTAGCCACTTTTATCACATTCAACCTAAGTAGATCTTCAAAGTTATTTTAAAGAAGGTGGAAAGTAAGGTGGAACTTGAAAAAAGAAATACAAATGGTATTTACATGCCCATCTCTACATCCAGATTTCCTCCATGTGTTCCACAGGTGATATTACAGGAGTGGAGGGAAGGTGACACACAGTCTCTGGTTGATGCCAAACGTACCTGACCTGTTGCACATCGTTTGCTCACCTTAAAAAAACACACACGCACACACACACACACACACAGAGCAAACATCTCAAAGAACTTCAAACACAAAGGGTTGCTAGTCATTGCATCATACATGATTAAAAACCTTTCCCACTGTGTATTTTTTTATTTTGAAATCGTCTGAACAGTCTACGTTTTTGTGGTTGTTCGTTTGTTTGTCGTAGCCAACATTGATGGTGTCCATTCTTCAATGTTACAGCTTCTGGTATTTGAAAGATGGCTGCAACAACTTCTGCATTCAAAAATGTACTCTAAAGGTAGGCTTTTCAGTTGTACAAGAACACATCAGCCTAGCAAATCCTTGAATCAAATTAGATTTGTTGCATGTTGTAAGCATGTGAAAACTGTTGAAATCAAAGGAAACTACAAATTCAAACATAAAAAAGGTGATCTCTTTTGATTTTCTACTCACCTCAGGCTGGCAGTCCAACTCACTGTCAGCGGTGAAGCTTTTGAAATCTAGTTCATTGTAGAAGATGAAACCAGTTCTGCATAAACATGAACCATCCGAGGGGTGGAACGCACGATTCTTACCGAGGCAGGTGCAAGAAGAAGAACCTGAGGAAAGGGATGAAATAGGGCACAACAATATGATCAACTGAGATATTTTTCTGTAAAAAAAAAAGACCAAAAACTATTTTAAAACCGCTAAATAGAAATATTTAATTCATTTTATTAGATCTTTTTTGAATGGATCAAACCTGCTAGTGAGATGGAGGAGCTGCCACAGGGGAAGCAGGCCTTCTGAGCTGGCAGGTGGTTGAAGGTGCCAGCTGGACATGGGTGACAGTCACCCATTATTGTTTCACCATGAGTCTGGTTTCCAAAGGTGCCAGGCGGGCAGGGCATTGGTTGAGTTGATCTCATGGGACAGACATAACTTAAAGGACAGCCGTTACTCTTGTAGTGGTCTGTACCTGTGGGATTAAAATAAATTCACACTTTAATCAGATTTAAATACCCATTTTAGACACATAAAGTGAGACTTGGAACTTCTTGTGATGGTTAGTCACCTGGTGGGCAAAAGTACCCTGGTGGACATGGAAGGCATTGTAGGATGGGAGAGAGGTAAGGACGATAGGTGCCCCCCTCACATACACTACAGCAGATGCTTTTAGATCCTCTGAGCCCACTGGTGTTGATGGGCATGGAACCCCCCTCGCAGGACCTCATGGCCGAGCTGTTGGCTGGGCAGTAGTAGGGAAATGGACAGCTGTGGGGCAGTGCTACAGGGTTATTTATAAAGCCTACACTGTGTAAGTTATAGCCTCTTTCTAACCTGTGCTATCATTAGGATTTTGGATCGTTCATGCACTCACAGTTGTTTGGGGTCGTGGTAGGACTGGGATCCCTCAGGGCAAAAGTAACCTTCAGGACAGACGGGAGGCTCAGCAGTCTGAGATCCACAGAATGAGCCGGCTCGGCACAACATCTCTGAGACTGCACCTGGAGATTGAACAAAAAGTTATTACAGCAGAACTTCATTACTGTTTTTAGGGAGAAAGGCACTAATGAAGATAAAGTATTCCAAGTCGTCACAAACAGTCTAATATGTCAAGTTAACACCATCAACTGTGCTGATAATCCCACCTATAGGGCATTGATATGAGGCCCTGCAGGGGATTCCCTCCACATTAGGTTTTCCTGTAAGCCGGGGATCTGGGCAAAAGGTCCCCCCTGCACATGGTTCACACTGGCTGGATGCAGCAGCTCCAGGAAGGGGCCTCTTGGTGCCAGCAGGGCAGGGGATGGGGGGTCCAGACCCACTGCACCAAAAACCAGGTGGGCAGGGACTGCTGGAGTAGTCTGTAAATCCTGGAATATAATAGATATCTGAAAAACCTATTCACACTACAATCAAAGAAAATGTATATGTGCTGCTTCATTATCCACACACATTGAGGGGACCTTAAAAGAAAAAACATCAGAGCCATTGGGCTTACTAAAAGGAGACCAACATATGGTGAGAGAGGGTTTTTTTACTCATTATTTTAAAAGCTTATATTTTGGTATACACAGAAGCAGAAGGAAAGAGGGGGGGGACATCTGCTGTGATTCAACCACAAGATAAAGTAACACTATAGTTTCAATGTTAAGTTACATTAAGCATTGTTAAGGAAGACAAAACTTAAATCCAACACTGAATCATTGCTTCATCCCCAGGTACAGTATCACAGGTTCTTCAGTCACGTTATACCTCCTTCACTCTTATCTCAGGCTCAGGTTCAGCCACTAGTGTAACAGTGTGCATACAAACTAAAATGTATAAAACCTATAAAAGCTCTTTATCTTTCAAATGTTCTTGCCAATTAAAGTTCCAACCCACCAGAGAAGGGTTACCAACAGTGAGCACAGCCGAATAAAAAATAATGGAAAATAAAAGGAATGTGTTACTTTTGTATGAGTCATCTAAGTTCATGCTTTTAATGAGCTTGCTGTTGTCTGTGTCTGAGAGATGCAGAGAAGTATCAGACCTGTGCTGTTACAGTGGGAACCAGGGGGGCAGGGTAAGCAGTCCCCCTTGCTGCCTGCTCCAGGTGAAGCTCGATAGGTGAACACAGGACACGGCCTGGGTCCTGTTCCTCCGGTGAAATCACTGCCAGGCACACCGTCACAGTAATGACCAGGAGGACACAGATGAAGCACCGGGTCTCCTGCAACCATACATAGGCGAACATTTAAGAAGTAAAAAGAATCAACTATATGTTTATGGAGAGATTTATGCTACGTTTACTACACTCTAGATTATCTGTTAAGGAATTTGTTTTAATACTTTATCGATTACAAGGCTTAGCGATAACTTGCCTCTGGCTACATTTCTTACATCTTAACCATTCATAAGCCTTGGCTTAGTTGAATATTCTCAGGGCTGTTTCCTGCTTTTTGCTTTCAACTCTATTCCCTGTCCTTGGATCCTACTGGTTTCTACTTATACGTGAAATGAATGCATTTAACTGCCTTGTAGGGCAGCAAGTAAGCCAGATGCTAATATCCAATGCGGTAGCTCCTCAGACTGCTTATCTAGACTACAGGAAAAGGTTTCCCCGTTTTTTTTAACTTTCTCCCACTCTCCCACTATGTTTCTCCGGCTCGGTCTGTCTTATCCACTGTCTCCTGGGTTGGCCATTCCTGTTGTTGTCAGGTTGTAACAATAGCTACACAAACGCTTCCAACCACTCAAACATGAAGACTATTATCAGCTTATACCAGGTTTACACCAATGCTGAGGTGGGCAGGATAAGCAGTCCTGTAGGCTGGCACCACCTGGGGATGTTCTGATAGTATTTACAGGACACGACTGAGCCTCCATCATGCCTTCAGGACAGAAGAAACCTGTCAAAGAAATACTTCTTGGCATAAATACATTTTAAGCAGTTGAAAAGATAAAATATTAAATCCCCCAACTTGGAGGTTTGGAGAGAAGCTATCTAAAAAGTAAAAAAAAAAGATTACAAAGAAAATGTATTCAAACTGAATAATAATCATTGGTGGCTGTACACAAAAAAATGGGGGGGGGGGGGAATGGTATTGTACCTGGAGGACAAGGCCCAGCACACTGCATGCCCCACTTGCATTGCGTCAGGTTAAACAGTGGTGTCTGGGGGGTGAACTCTGCACTCCCAGACACACAAAGATACCCTGCAGCACACACACCCTGGATCCTTCCAGCCCTAAAAAATAAAAAAAATAAACCACATGACTCAGTGCATACAAGCAAACACAATACTGCACACACACATTGAGAAGACAATAAGATGCATGGTTCATTAGATTAATAGAATGATGATTACATAATTTCTAGCTTTTTCACCTCCCATCCTGCATTCATTATATTCATGCATATTTCGGTGTTAATTTGGCTGCTTGGTGAACCATGACTCCTGAAAATGAGATACGCCTGCACGCTGCTAATTGTGAGCATAATTAAAACAGAGGTGAGTGCTCGCCTTTGAGCATTTGTCTCCATGTGTATGCAGCAGTACAGGATGTACTTGTGATCACAGTGTGTTTCAGTTCACTTCTGCATGCATGTATGTGAGTGTGGGAGAGGTGTTCATTTGAGAGTTTTCGTCTGCCACTCCAGAGTTTTGAATACATCAACTGTACCTGCAGAACCTCCCAGGAGGGCAGGGTAAACACTCTCTCTCTTCTTGAAGCCCTCCCTGGTTTGAATGAGTGTATGTCCCATTAGGGCAGGGCTGAGGAACCATGGTACCTGTTAAGAGATGTAGAAGAACAAACACAAAGATAGATTTATTACATTCTTGTAAACATGAATAGTTTTTTTCTACCTTAAAACAAACAAGGGCCAATAGTGTGATTTTTTTGTTTTCTTCATAATGTTGTACAATTATTAAATGAAAATAGAAATCTTTTGAAGTCAAAGCTATCCTTTTAGAGAACCTGCAGGGCAGAATGAGTGTGGTGGACAGGCCAATGGCTCTCCCACTATGGCCTCCTCACAGTAGAATCCAGGGCGACATGGGATGCAGCTATCTGAGCCCGGGTTTGGCTGGTATTCACCTGTGGGACAAGGCTGGGCCATGGCAGAGCCCTCTGGACAGTAGTGGCCCTATGAGAAAATGGAGGTTACAAAGAAGAATCTGAGGGATTTTTTCATTGCAGTAGAATATTAATAACACACACCATGGCATACTGTATGATTCTCTAGGAAAGAACCTCTCAAATAAACAGTAAGGCCAATGTGAAGGTAGGAAAAATGAACGATTATATGAATAACTCTTACCTTGGGACAGAGGAAGGCATATGGAGTGGCGGAGGAGAAGTCGTAGGGGCAGTAGAAACCAGCAGCACAGGGGCCACTGGGGTTGGACAGACCCTCAGTGGAGCAGTAGTGTCCTGCAGGACAGGTAGAGCAACTCTCCATGGACACACCTCCTAACACATAAAGGTGAGGAAGGGATGTTAACCAGACATCGATAACACAGTTTTCAGTGAATCACACAATTTTTTGACTTAAACAGGAATTACATGCCATTTTCTTCAGTAGTTGTACCTGTGGTGTTTCGAATGCTGCCCAGGGGGCATGGGACTGGAGAGAGGCACCCTGCTGGACAATAGTGTCCCACAGGACAAGGGCCATTCCTGGGGAAGTTGTTAGAGCTCAGAGGTGTTGGATCCATGGCTCCTCCTTGGCAGAAATAACCCTGGAGACAAAAGCCTAGAGAAAAATTGAAGGGACAATTTGGTTGTTACTTAATGATTTAACTTGTGAAATGGGCTGTAAATTCAGCTAAAATTTTAAATAATGTCTCCAAATCTCTTTGGTTCTAAATACCTTGTGGTGTGGAGGCTCCATATGAGCTACAGTACACTCCAGAGGGACAGGGTGTGCACACGGACAGAAAGTAAGCTCCTGTCTGGTTGCTGAAAGTCCCTAATGGGCAGGGCTGAGGCACGGCTGTCCCAACAGGACAAACATGACCTGTGAAGAAAGTTAAATATTGGTTAATCATTAATGCAGAATAATAAATCTGGTCTAATTTATACTGAAATGCGCGTTCTCCATCCTCACCAGCTGGGCAGATCGAGGGCTCTTGAGTGGCTGAGGAGGAACACATGCTCCCTTTGGGGCATAATAAGCAGCGGGCTGCTCCAAGAGCAGGGTTGTAAGTGCCAGGCTCACAAGGCACCTCATTTGCTGAGCCAACAGGACAGCTATGGCCAGCGGGGCAGAAGTAGCCATGGGAACCTGCAGATGGAGTGGGACTGTCGCTGCCACCCGAGCATACAAACCTTTAGGCAAAAACAGTGAGAGCTAACTTCAAATCACAGATATCTCAACAAGCTGCCATTACACAGGTTGGAAAATTGTCAGTAAAGAAGCATGTTCAAGCAAACTGTATTTGACTCAATTTACCCATAAATATTTGATTTAGTGAAAAGAAAATGTATATATTTAATATCTGGTCACATTAAAATGAGCTAATTTCATCAAATTAAATTATATTAAAAGTTATATTTTCAGTGAGTTAATGAATTTCAAGTCCTGACAATTAAAGCAATAATGAATACTTTCATTACTGGAGAAGATTAAGGAGAGGAAGATTAAGACAATTATTGAAAACTTCTTCCAGAACCGCATTAAATTCAATTCCTCCATGGTGTTCTTCCTTACAGCTTTTAACTGAACCATATCCAGACACACCAAAGTGCCACAGGTGCTGTGAAATGAGTTAAGCCTTTAACTTTTTTTTTTTAATGCAGAGCTTATTTGCAACCAAATGCAAGAGTAATGAAAGTGTTTTAATTATGGATCTTGTCCAGATGAAGACACCTGCTCCCTCTCCTGCTGAGTCTCAAGAGACTCTCGTGTAAAAGGCAATCTGCTATCCTCCATTATGTGTCTGATTTTGTGTGTGTGTTGAATTGCTTTTGACTGATTTTGAAAAGCAGATATGTTGCAGATATATTGAAATACTCGCTTTACATCAGGTATAAATCCTAAAGGTTCCTTCAAGCGACAATGTGAGAAGCCGTGGACATTAGGGAGAGAGTGGAACAAGGGCATATTGGAAAAGTTGTTTTCTTTTCATGGAGAAGCAATCCTGTTGAAATGGAAAACAATTTCCTCGCTTTTTTCTCCTCCAGTCAGACAAAAACAGTCAAGCAAACAATGTGAACAATACCAATGAAAAACATGTGGTGCGGTGTTTACACTCAAGGAGCGGAGATTGAAAACTTAAAACAGCAGAAGAGCAGAAGTGTTTACCCAGCATGACATGGGAGAGCATCTGATAGCTCATTTATTGCAGGCCTGTCACAAAACAGTCCAGGGGGGCAGGGTGGGCAGTCGTCCTCTCTCTTTAGGCCTCTGTGGATAGAAAGAGAGCCTATGGGGCAGGGGAGAGGATAGCCTGCACCAGGGGGGCAGTAGTGTCCTGAAGGACAGAGGTGGCTTCTGGTAGAATTCCCCTTAGAAGAAATAGACAGATAAAAACAAGATGACAAAGATAAAATGTGTACTTTAATTGGAAAAGGTCCTTTAAAGTTCTCAGAGTTCTCAGAGCTGAATTGTTTATTAGACGCAACATTACAAAAATGCCAGAATGAGCGCAAATCACTGTGATCTTAGAGCCTTGGCTTAAAGTGGGACTGAAAATTTGATGTGGAAAGTTTTGAGGACATTACATTAAAATAAAATGATGCTGAACAATATTCCTATTACATTAATCCATGTGTGAGGATGACTTTTTTGCCCTTGAAACATTTTGAGGAAAGTTTACAAAGTGGCCCAATGGAGAGCAGAAACATGGAGTGAACAATGTTCTAAGGTCACAGTGAGAGTTTAATACTTCTTCTGTTTTTGTGCTAAGTAGTACAAGAGTGTCCAAGGCAGCATCAATTACTAAAGGCAGCATCGATAAACTAAAGCAAGGGTTAACATTTTCAAGAAGTTTCATTATCTGAAAAGATTATAGTGTCAAAAATATTATTATGAAATATGCTCTGGGGAAAAAAGGACCTACCAACCGAATACTGACTCACCAATATCACAGGGTTACATTCACCTGATACTCAGTCGATTTAGGGCTTGTTGATCCGGTAGGACAGAAGTATCCTCCCTCACAGAGTCCTGTTGGCTGGGATAGACCAGGGTGAGAGCAGAAGTTTCCTGCAGAAATCAGACGCAAAGGTTTTCAGATATTATTGGGTGGTTAGTTGTGGTGATGCGGAACAAAACACTTATCCTAATGGATACCAGCAGGGCAGGGTATGCAGGACTCAGGACCAGAGGCTCCCAGCTGGTTCTGCACGGAGCCAGGTGGGCAGGGGAACTCAAGTCCAAGAACCTGTCCTCCAGGACAGTAGAATCCAGCAGGACACGGTGTAGGCTGCACAGTACCTTCAGCTAAGCAACACAAAACATACATTATTAACGCGGATAAAATGGACAGCATTTCTCATTTCCTAACTTTAGAATGTCTTTTACTTTGAAGAGATAAAATCAGTGAACCAATTAAAGACATGGATTCTGACAGTAATAATCAGTAATATTAGCAGATAAAGACAGGTGTGACTTCAACAGGCTGTTCTCGTTTTACCTCCAGAGGATTCAGCCCTGCTTTAATTAGTAAAACCATGTGCTTCCCTGAATAACTTTTGACAATCCTCTTGGAAAAGCTGCAAGTCTGCTGCTTTTAATAAAAAGTGAACATATATATGGTCTTTTAAATATTCTTCAAGGATCTTGCCCAGCGTTGTGCCCTTTCGAATTGTCTGTGATCATAGCTGTGTACCTGATTAAAAGAACTTATCCTGCAGCTGTACTGCATGCTAATCAGTGACTACTGCAGAAAAAAAATAAATGACTTGCTACACCCCGAGTGTATCGTCTATGTGTTTTGATTTGATGTGATTTTTTATGGATTGATGTGGAAATATATCTTGCTCATCTTGCAGCGGCTAATTCTACCTTGACAGTAGTATCCAGGGGTACAGGTAGTGCATTCTTCTTGCTGTGTGATGCCTGATTCAGAGCTAAATGTTCCTGCTGGACAAGGCAAAGGGGCTGGTGTTCCACGAGGGCAGAAGAAACCAGCAGGGCAAACAAGCTCATCTGCTCTACTGGAGCCCCAGCTGCAAAAGAACCCTGCCCAGCATTCACCTGGAGTTTAAAAGGAAAACACGTTCAAAAAGTGGATATTCTCTTTTAAATAGTGACTAAAAAGAAAGAAGAATTAAAAAAAAAAAAAAGTGTACACAGAAGCCTTTAAATGGTATATTTGAAGGACTTTGTGTGTCTTTAAATTCGTCTACCTGCTCTTAGTCCCTGCTGGCAGAAAACACCAGGTGGACACAAAGACCCAGTTCTGTTGTCAGTCGGGTTTGGCACTGTGGCTCCAATCAGACAGAGGAACCCATCAGCACAACCACCTGAAGGCTCAACCAAACCTTCAGACCCACAAAACCGGCCCGCTGGACACACAAGACACTCACCTGTGAACACAGTTTGACAGCTGTGACCTGAGAGCAAACAGCAAAAACAAGTTACCTGCCAGGTGAGATCAATCAGTGTCTCCAGAACGGTTTTACACTGCGGTGTGAATTTATGTCAAACAAATTATAAGGAAGACAGTTATATTGAGGCACAGCTAATAGGTGTGTAAGTCTTATACATTTCATAGTATCTCCCCTGAGTTTTTCTTTCTGTCATCTAAAAAATCAGATTTGAAAGTTTTGTAGTTGACTGGAACCAACAGCAGTTACACCATGAAACATCCTTCTGAACACTTATTTTACTCTAATAAACAGTCTAAGTATTCATTTTAAAAATGGTCATATGAGGTTCTAGGTTCATACTTGTGGTGGTGAGACCCAGTCTGGGGCTATATGTGCCTCTGGGGCACGGGAGAGGCCGAATGTCTGGACTCTCTCTCGGACAGACATAGCCAGCAGCGCAGGGCAGAGGACTAGAGACCCCAGTAGAGCTCCCCCTGGTGGGGCTGGGACCTGGGGAGCGGCAGATGAACCCTGGAGGGCAGGGATGACACTCTCTCTGGCCAGATAAATCCTGGAACCAGCCTGGCAAAGTCATTCAAACCGGAAAAAAACATCTTCAGAGAAGACGAAGGAATGTGAACAGACAAATTAAAGTCAGTTTAGCCCACTTTAGTTTAAACCTTGTTTTTATTACCAAATGGGCATGGTTTGCAGTCATCTTTGCCTTTCCCTCCGGTCTCATTTTGGAAGGAGCCAGCTGGGCAGGGTGAGGGGACACTGCTGCCCTCCAAGCAGAAGTGGCCCGCTGGACAAACTCCTCCAGTTACACTTGATATTGGAGTGGCAGTATGAGACCCCTCTTGACAGTAGAAACCTGGGGAAAACACTTCAATAAATTGTTTGTTCAGCTACACTCGTAACAAT